ATAGCTGAAGAAGACAGCTGTTGGACATGACCTATGACCTTCAATAGGGAAAGGCAGCCATTGACAAACTGTAGTCCTATGGAGGAAGCCTTGGCCTCTCTCCTCTAGCTCTCTGAGCTAGTTCCCCATATGGCTGGATCCAAGGGAATTGAGGTGATGCAGTCTGTAAAGGTTAATTTCCTGGGGAACAGAACTGCCTCTGACAGTGGGCAGAGAGTGGATCTGAAGAATCAATTGGAGAATAATGAGCTCAAATTGTTAGTCTTGATGGGGTGAAGCAAATATATCAGAATTGGGGGTGGGGGTGGGCAATGGGTATCATTTGCAAGAGCATTCTAGAAGAATGTAACCACCCCTTCCCCCAAAAGATTGAGTAACACTGATCAAAATGAATAAAAATACAATAGGAGAATGTAAAATAAGCTGGCTGATTGGAAGATCATTCATTTGTTTATTCATTCATTCATGTATTCATTTATTAATCATCAAGATACCAAGATTTGCACCTCTAGATATCAAGATTGCAAAACTTGATTAGACATCTCTATACGCCTGAAACTTTTTATAATACAAGTTTCAAAAAAATTGGATTACACAGGGTTACAGGGTCACTATCTCCAAGAACCTAATAGTATGGACCAACAAGTCCAGAGGATTCAGCTTCTAAACTGGAGGATTTGGCTGCTTCACGGACTCTGGGGTAGACAGACTCTGGAGTAGGAAAGGATGTTCTGGAATGGGTATTGAGTGCATGTGGAGGAGTGGTGGCAGATGAGGTGGAAGAAGCAGAAAACAACTCCAGAGTTCAAAATTACATTGTCAGGTCTGTATTTAAGATCCTTGGATCATCAGGGCAAAGGATGGATTGGTGGAGCAAAAAACTAAGAAATAAAGTTAGAGAAATTATGTGGGGGCCAGTGAGCAATACCTATGCATGAAACTAGGATCTGAACAATAGCAGGAGGACCAGAGATGAAGAGGGGATACAGTCAAGAGATAGTCATGGGGAAGAATGAACAGAACTGAAGAATTAAATGGCTGTGGTGTGTGAGAGAAGGAAAATTCCTTGAGCTGTTTTGCCTTCTCAATACTCCCACCCACTTTTCAGCTAATAGCTCCTGGATTTTCCTTTGAGAGCAGGACTCCTACCTGCCCAGCTGAGTGCAGTTTCCATAAAACTGTCACCCATAGTTCTTGTGTTCTCTGGCCAAAAGGGAGATCACGTGACTCAAGTCAGGACAATCCGTTGCTCCCTCCTGGGAATTTGGAAATCTTGGGTTTGGCACCTAGATCCTGTCTTAGGTCTTGTCTTTGTTGAAGCCTCCATCTTCAATTTTTTCCTTAGATTCTGTATGCTATCCATGGCTTTCTTTAAAAGTCTTTTTTTTTTTTTTTTTGAAAATTCAATAAGCTAAAGTTTTTTGTTTGTTCTGAGGAACAGAACTGCCTCCGACAGTGGGCAGAGAGTAGATCTGGAGAATTCATTGGAGAATGGTGAGCACAAATGGTTAATCTGGCTGGTTGGAAACAGAAAACCTCAGCTGATTGTGGTGGCCACGTGTAGGGTGGTACCTTACACAGGGAGATAAACACAGGTCGACGAGAAAGTTTGAGATGGGGTTTCTTAAAGGAATGGGTGAGTAGTTTGCTTTTGAGAAACACAGGTTGAGGAGAAAGTTTGAGATGGGGTTTCTTGCAGTAATGGGTGAGTAGTTTGCTTTTGAGAAACACAGGTTGAGGAGAAAGTTTGAGATGGGGTTTCTTGCAGTAATGGGCGAGTAGTTTGCTTTTGAAAAGCCTACGGAAAAGTAAAGGGAAAAGTTCAAAAGTTGTCCAGGGACTTTGTGGAACTGTAAAAATGACACCACAGAGTGTAAAACCACCTTTGGCCTTTGGACATAGAAAGTTCTAAACAATAGCCTGACCTCCTAACGACATACCCAGTCTTCTCCAAGGAGGGTAATTCCTCCATGGGGTGGCTGCCGCCTTCTGCAGATGCCCCAGAATCAGCTGAGGGAGTGGACGGAGCCACATTTTCAGCACCGGAAGCCCCGAGTCCTAGCTCTGGTTATTTCACTAATTAGCTAGGCGACCCTGCATAAATGCCCACCTTTCTCTGAAACTCAGCTTCCTTGTTAGTAAAATACAAGAGTTGAACTATTTGGGGTCTCAACGTATGTTCCAAGAGAATTTCCAGTTTACATGAAAAGGGGTCCTGTATACTGGGAAACTGGGTTAAATAAGTCTTAAACTGGTTTCCTTATTGCAGGACTTCTCAGGGTCTTAAAAACACTCATCTCTGATGCAGATATTGAAGAGGGGTGAAGGTGAGTAGCATTTCTCAATCTATCTTTCCCAAGGAAACTTTTTTCTCCCCCATGATGAAACATGTGGAACCAGTAGTCATCAGAAGGCACTTGTAGAAATGTTGGATTAGGTGATTTCTAAGGCTGTATCAGCCCAAACACTCCATGATTCTGTGTATCCTGGTGCTCTGGGCCCCTCATGTATTTCCCACTTGCCTCCTCCTAGGGGATGATTGACTCTGAAGGACCCTTGCCATCTGTTCTAAGAGGCTTCTCCCAGGAAAAATCACACTTGAATGCCTATAAAGCCCTTTAAAGATATAGTCTGGCTCATGAAACCCTCTGAGCAGCTTAAATGGAAAACACAGTCCCCCACTGCGCCCAGAGCACAGATCCAGGCCCAGCCCGAAGGGATTGCAAAACATGCTCTAGCATGCATTTGGGAAAACAAAGAAAACCCTACTCTTTGCTGCTCCAGACAGTCTGAGACGCTTTGTGCCCTTGGGCCCTTGCCCGGTTCTCTCATCTGCCTCAGTCCTGGTACTAAATTGGTTCAAGGTTTGGAGGAGAGCTTCAGAGCAAGCGGGGAAAGGATGTTTAGAGTTCTTAAATGCTGAAGTCACCCTGAGGACCAGAGCATAGACCCTCGCCGGCCACCAGGGGGCGATGACAACAGCATCTGTGCAGAAAGCGGTTCCCAAGAATAACAGCAGTAAATTGCACCTAATGTGTTTATATGAATGATGAAGGGACTCGAGTGTGTGTGTGTGTGCGCGCGCAACTGGGTGCCCGAAGCTAAGACTGAAAATCTGCAAAGTATAATACAATAAATGTGCAACTCTACTATATATTCACAGGATATGGTCAAGTAGTTCAAAGTTTCCTTGAAGGAAAATGAGGTAGAAGAAATCAGAATAGCATTCTTATGAAAGAAAAGAGAAGCGCTCTCAGGAGTATAGTTGTCACTGTGTGTGTGTAAATGGGTGTGTGTAAGCCTGAGTATGTGAAAGTGTGTGAGTGGCTGTGAATATGTAGATACCAGTGTGTGTGTATATATATGCAGGGCTCATTCAGGCCTTCTCAGTGTGAGCGGACCTCAAGGAAATCTGGGCAATACTTCCTGCAGTTCCTGCCCTTTCCTTTCAAACAAACAAACAAAATCATTCCTACAAGTATTTATGGAGCCTCTAACGCACGCGCCCCTCCCCACTGGCATCTGGAAAAGCTCAGACCTAGTCAATTTAAAGCGGACGCTGGAAGAAAGAAGGCGCTGGGGACAGAAGGGATGCCTCATCTGCGAATGACTTTTGCAAAAACACGTTATCTTCTGTGATGCTCCAAACAACCCAGGGAGATGAGGCCAGGCAGGACTGTGGCCCCTGATTTGAGAAAATGAAGGCTCAGAGATGACACGATTGGCCCAGAGTCACCCAGTCAGGAAGCAGAAACCCAAGGATGGAAGAAGGCATTGTCAATCCAGGGGTCCGAGTCGCTGCCGTCACTACTTTTAGCAGCCCACCAAGCGTTGGGTCTGGGCAAAGCAGGGCAAGTTTCCGGGTAAGGTTTGCCACCAGTGACCTCAACAACACGGACCACCGTGTGTGTGTGTGTTTTTGTGTGTGTGTGTGTAGCTGTGGAGTACATTGGTGTTAACCGCAAAATTGCGGATCTTTGCCATGAGTACTAAGTGCAGTAGGGAAGCGGCTTCGTGGGCGACAGTGCCATGGTTTGGCGTCCCTAGCAGCTGTGCGATCTCCAGCAAGTCGCTTCACTTCTCTGAGCTGTTTTCAGATGCCCCCTTGGAAGATCGTGGACTTAAGTAAAGAATATGAGTAGAGTGCTCAGCTCAGTGCAAGAATTTAAAAAAAAAAAAGTGTCAGGAGCCTTATCCGTCCTTGGCTCCTAACAGTGAATGAGTTTCAGTGTTTCTTTCCCGGGGCCCTGCTGGCCGAGCCCCTTTCCTTCCCTGGTTCCTTCTCTCTCCCTCCTCTACTGCCTCCTCCCTCCAGGCTCTCGGTCGCTCCAGCAAAGTTCCCAACTTAGTCGACATGACGCGCGGCGCAGCCAATGGGAGGCGGAGTTGGCGTTTTTTTTGAGGGGGGGGCGGGAGGGGTGGGCCCCGCGTCTCCGGTGTCTGCCCTGCTCAGTGAATGGAGAGAGCGAGCGCCGGCCAGCTCACCCGGCCGCCCCGTGCCCCAGCCGCCGCCGCCGCGCTCCGCAGCTCAGCCCCAAGCCGGACCTCCCCAGGCGCCACGCCCCACTGCGCTCGCCCCAGGTCCCCAACTGGGCCCGCGGGCCAGCGGGGCCAGGGGGCGCTCCGCACCTGGGCACTCCCAGCGATGCGCAGCGGGGCAGCGCCGGCCCCGCCGATGGAGCTGCTGCTGCCGCTGCCGCCGCCGCCGCCCGGCGCGCCCCGCTCCGCCCGCGCCCCGTGCGCCTGAGCGCCGAGCTCGCCCCTCCTCCGCGCCAACTCCGCCGCCCGCTCCCCAGGCCGCCCGCGCTCCCCGCGCGACTCCTCGGGCTCCACGCGTCTTGCCCCGCAGAGGCAGCCTCCTCCGGGAGCGGGGCCCTGCACACCATGGCCCCCGGGTGGACAGGGGTCGGCGCTGCCGTGCGCGCCCGCCTAGCGCTGGCCTTGGCGCTGGCGAGCGTCCTGAGTGGGCCCCCAGCCGTCGCCTGCCCCACCAAGTGTACCTGCTCCGCCGCCAGCGTGGACTGCCACGGGCTGGGCCTCCGCGCGGTTCCTCGGGGCATCCCCCGCAACGCTGAGCGCCTGTGAGTACCCCTGCCCCACCCCACGCGGGCCACCCACCTGGGTCCCACCGAGGTGGCCCCAGGCGCCAGATCCCTCCTTTCCTTTCGACCTCCCTGGATGCAGTCTCTATTCCCATCCCTTCCTGGATAGGATCCCTCGCTCTCCGAGCTGGGAGTCTGTAGGCTTGGTCCGATCTGGAAAGAGAGGTCTCCAACCCCCCGCGATGAGCCAAGAGCAGTGCTTCTCCAGGGGTGAGGGTTCCAGACGCAGGGCCCGCTGACAGCTTCCGAGGAGTAGCTGGCGAGAGGCGAGGGGAGGCAAGAGCACTGCAGCCTCAAGGTCTTAGGGTGAGGGTCAGGGGTCTGCGCTCATTAAAAAGGGGGGCGGGCGAAGGAGAAAGCTATAGGATGATGGGCCGTCAAGGCGCAGAGGCGGGAGAGAGGGCCCGAGACTGTTGACCTGCTTGGAGATCAGAATGGGCCAGCCGCTCTCTGGCTGCCCTTGCAAGGAAAGTTGAGAGTGTGGGTGAAGGTTTAACTTCTGAGGAACTGGACAGATTCAGAGTGGGTGCTCGCAAAACCCGCTCTGCCTGGAAAGCAGTCTGGGAGATGCCAAGTTGCAGCCCCGGGTGAATTTTTTATGGCTCGGTTATAAATGCCTCCCCGAACGAAGGGGCCGGAGAATGGAAATGCTGACAGCTCTTCAAATGAGACCGTGCGTTATAATCTTACAAACCGCACTCAGCCTCGGATCCTGGACTTGGCAGCGAATGGAGAGGCGCTTGCAGAATGGGGTGGATTGACCCTAGTTTTAGCCCCAATTGTGCAACCAAATATTTACTTTTCATATGTCAACGTTTTGGAAACATTTATCATTTTGATCCTCGGACCAGATTCAAAACTTGGACTCCGGGGTGGGCTCCTCTTAGTCCGCAGTTGGGGTGGGGTAAGGGAGTGGGGGAGAAACGCTGGAGTGGGTGGGAGCCTTACTGGGAACCCAGCCGAGAAGTGGGTGAGGGTTTGCTGTAGTGTGGTGGATTCCCTCCGTGTCTTGCTCTCCCTCTTCTCCCCTTCCTCACGTGCCTTAGGGGTAGGCGCCTGGATCTTCCACTCTGCTTTCTTGACTTCAGGCTGAAAGAGAGTAGTGATGACAAGCATTGTCCTAGAGTGTGTTATTCCTGTTAGTCACCTCCTATCACCCCACCTCCTCTTCTCTTCCACTTCTTTGTGCGTCTCTGGGTGGAGACTCAGCAGAACTGTCTTCCTTATTCCTGATGCTCTCTTTTTCCTTTGGCTGAAAACTTTTTTTTTTCCCTCAAGTGCAATGATTGTTTTGTTGGGTTGAACCACAGAATCCTAAAGGGTGAGAGCCGAATTATTAACAAATGTCGAAAACCAGGCTTGGAAGTATAAAATGACTTGCCCAGGAAAACACAGCAAGTTGATGGCAATAAAGGGGCCAAAATCCAGTTTTTCACACCTTAATTCAGACATTATGTTAGTCCATAGGAGTGCAAAACTTGTTTTAGTGGTATTTTTAGATACCTGCACCTTGTAAACTAAGTTCCCCTCCTTGTCACACCAGTGCTAGCCACATGACTTAGTGAAATAATAACTATAGCTATTGTTTGATAAATGCTTTGCATGCCTTGATTTGTGTACATGTATTATCTCATTGAATCTCTCCAACAGTCCTGTTAGTTACATAGGCAATGCTTATTACTCCATTTTACAGTTAAGTCGTCTTGTCATTTACTCAAGGTCATGCAGCTAGTGAAGTGTTTGAATCCAAGCCTGATTGGTTCCTAAGCCCACAACCCTTATCACTCTGCTGGTCATCCTTGGAACAAGGGTCAGTTTGGACCACAATCTATAAACAGACAGTCCTGGGAGGTTTCTGGCTGGGCTTGGATCTTAGAACAGGCTGCTGTTGCTTCTGCTTCTGGTATACCCTGCAAATGTTCAGCTCACTCTGATGTTAGCTCTTATGCTTAGGGTCTTGAAACTACTTCTCCATCTTCAAAACCGTGCTCCATGTTTGGGAAACCAAGGAGAGTAAGTCCCTTTCCTCCTGGTATGTAGGAAGTTTTCCAGAGCTGCAGGAACAGCACCCATGCCAGCACGCCACCCAGTCATCTCCTGTAGGAGATCTGTGCAGCTCAGGGCAACCCATCAACTCTAGAACTGGAGAAACAGGGCAGAGACTGGAGTCCTGGTCGTTCCCTTAGGCCCCCTGCTGCAGTCCTTAACAGGCAGTGGGAGAGCAGGAGCTGCTTTGATATCTCTGGTCTCTTCTGCCTCAGTTGTGGTCACTGGTGCCACTTTGGCTAGGGTGCATGGGAGTGCCGCGATGGTATCTCATTCTAGTCTCCTTCCTCCCTGGGAATCGGGGACAGTCTTTAGGAGCAAGCTGGGTCAGGTTCACTTCAGGGTTTCAGGGCAGTCCACCAACAGTTTTTCACCACCAAAGTCCTGCACCACACTCTCTCTCAGCGAACTCAGATGTAACATTTCAATTCTGAAAACTCTTGGGGGATATTTGGCATTTTTATGCTCTGCCAAGGATTTCTTCAGAGAAGAATCACTCATTTATTCCTGCCTTCATTCATTCAACACACATTACGTGAGGCCGGACACAGTGGCTCATGCCTGTTATCCCAGCACTTTGGGAGGCTGAGGTGAGAGGATCGCTTGAGCCTAGGAGTTTGAGAACAAACATGACTTGAACCTCTACTGCGTTCCAGAAACTGTATATAGAATCATTGCATATACAGAAGAAAACCAGCACTTCAATGTAAAGAATGTAAGCAAAAGATAGAAGGAAACTTGCTTTGGTGAGCCTTTTGAACTTCCCAGGGTTCATTTTGCCATAGGGCACATTTTGTCAGCACTGTCATCAGATGCTCAGGACCTTCCTAAAATCCAGTGTTCTGATCTCAAATGTTTAAATTGTGTTTTAAAACAAAGAAACAGCATTTTCTCCGTTCTCCATTCTTGGTACTCTGCCTCCCAAAAAGCCTTTGATGAAGGGATTTGTGTGTGTGTGTGTGTGTGTGTGTGTGTCTGTGTATATTGCTTCTCTGGATGTTTCTGACTTCTGAAACCTTGTGTTACGACATTAAGGAAAACCTGAGTGGGGATAATGTGCTCAGCATTTGGACTTTGCTTCAGGCCTGGAATGGGGCCTGAATTGTTCATAATTAAGCCAGAATCAGAGTTGGGGGTCCATGTTCCAAGGTATTCCCTATAATGTCAGCACATCACGCAGAAAAAGAAACTCTCTGTCTTTTATAAACTACTGACAATTTTTCCCCCTCCATGAGGAGGTGACACCCACAAGAAAGCTAAATAAATGCAGAGAAGAATTCAGTGTAATTTATTATCCGTGCAGCAAAGATAGAGGACAAGAGCAGAGGAAGTGGATGGCGGTGCCTGAAACCAAACATTTACCATGGAGCACAGAGTAAACAGATGTTGCACTTACCCTTCTGACTACAAAAGGAGCCCACAGATGTAATTCTTCTCCAACCACAATCTCAGCCTGGAAAAAGAGGAGGCAGATGAAAATGAACTCTCATGTGGGGCCACTTCTCCCCATCTTGCCCTCCTGCCTAGAGGCAGGCAGAGGCCCACTTCTCACTGCAGTGAGGGGTGGCCTGAACGGTGGAGTGGGGGCAAGAGTGGACATCTTTGGTTTTTCACTTGGCTCTGGAACATGCTGGAGACTGCTATATTTAAATAAACATTTCCTGTTTGCGAAGGAGAACGGGCGAAAGGCTGAAACGTGAGAATGTGGTAACTTAATTTTCTCCATCACTCCAGATGACGGCTAGCTTTGCCGGTGGTTTGGTCCAATAAAAACTGACACCATGTCATAGGCTTTCCCTCACTTGACCACAGAGGTCCTGAGGTCAAGTGGGAGACTTTCCAAGATGCTCCGTAGCCAGGGCCTGTGTCCTGGTACTTCCAGCCCTCAGGGTCAACTTAGAAGACAGGGACAAGCTAGTGAATCATGGGGTCTCTCTGGGTCAACCATGGTGATGTGACCTTTTAGGGAAACAGTGCCCTTCTGGACAGACTAAGGAGCGGCTGAGTGGACCTGCCTCCAGTGGACTGGTCTAGCCTCCAGGGTGCTGTGCAACTTTGGACAGATTGCATTACCTCTCTGGGCCTCATTTTCGTGAAAGTAGAATTCTTGCATAGTCTTAGTGGTTTTCTTAGGGGTTATAGTCCATTGGGGGACTGTCAGTATCTGCCTCCCTAGTGTCTAGAACAGTGCCTGGCACACAGTAGGTTTTCAGCAAATGTGTATTCAATAAAGGAATACTGAACCTCAAAACTAGAAGTCTTTCTTTAGTTCTTACAAGTGAAGGATGGGCCATTACATATCTGCATTCTGGTGTATAACTAAGGGATCCTTACTAGTAACCTATGTCATGAGTTATTAAGGGTATCTAAAATTTGGATTTTATGAACTAATATTTATTGCCTTACTAGAGTTACCAAGGACTCCTGTTGAGTGATCTGCTCTGGAGTCTGGTTGCCAGGCATTGCTTAGCAACCTTGCAAAACTCCTACTGTGCACATGCCCATGAAAAGAGCTGGAAATCCTGAGCACTTAAACCATAGGGCTTTCTAATCAGGAACTCATCAGCGTCATCCTGAGCGCTCTGTGGGTTTTGATTGCTGCTCTTCTTGTATTAATTGATAAGTTCTGCTTTTGTTGATCATCTGGATTTTCTAATATTTCTGCGTTTTTGCCATTTTGATTGTTATGTTGTTTTCTCTCCGGTATTGTTTGTTGTCACAGAGCTCTGTCTCCCCAGGAAAGTGAGAATGAATAGTGGGTTGCAGCTGTAGGATCTCTCACCTTGGCAATGTGGGCTGTGGCAAGAAGGTTCCCAACCCCTAAGCATTGTGGTTAGGGCAGGCGCTCTGGAGACAGACAACTCTGGGCTTGAATTGCAGCTCTGTTACATCTTGCTGTT